AGCGCCGCAAGGAGTGACCAGGAACAATGGTCACAAGCTGGCAGAGGGAAGGTTTAAGTTGGACATCAGGAGGCGCTACTTCACGGTCAGGGCGGCTAGAGTCTGGAACCAGCTTCCAAGTGAGGTGGTGCAGGCCCCCACCCTGGGGGTTTTTAAGAGGAGGTTGGACGACCACCTTACTGGGGTCATTTGACCCCAATGCTCTTCCTGCCATGGCAAGGGGTCGGACTAGATGATCTGCTCAGGTCCCTTCCGACCCTAGAAACTATGAAACTATGAAACAAATATGGCCAACATTTGATTAATGAGAGGGTTTGGTTAGCTAGAGTCAGAGGAAAAAACCCAGCTAGAATCACATAGAGCTAATTAATACTGGATATATCTTGCCTGCTTGACCTTTACACTCCATGTAAACATTGCCAGAATGGAGGTAATTTAGGGGAGGGATAAGGAGGCTGTTGTTGTTAGGGTTTGACTGCAATCATCTGGCCAATATAAGATGAGCTGGTTGCAGCCCTCAAATCATATTTGTTGCCTCTGCATCTTGTTGTTAGTTTGGTGGAAAGTTCAAATTATGTCAAAACTCATTTTACTGTAGCCTGGATACACCCGGGGGTGTGCTCCGTCCACAAGTGGAAGGAATGGGGTGGTCAGGCAAGAGTGCTGTGAGAGGGGCCTGCCACCGGGGAGTAGTTCCCTCTTTTCTCTATAGAGCCAGGCCGGGACAAAGCACTTAACTATATACGAGTTTATTGCTATACAAAAATAAATATGAATAAGAGACATTAAATATTTACAATACAATTGGTACGTGACACCATATACAATAATCTGCAATCAACACATCACACCACTTTGAGGGACTGCAAAATATAGACCAGGTAATTGGGAACTCAGTACAGGTGATCCACAGCACAGGCAATAATTAACCCCCCTGCACAGATGAAATATTAACACCCTGGAACAGGTAAGTCAATGCATCAACATAGTAAATGCATAAGCATCAACTCCAATTAAACCCAGGTAAGTTGAGGTAGCAATGCAATAGATGTACACAGGCAACAACACAGGTAAGTTCAGATAATAGGTAGTAAACATATAAAGGTAAAGAAAACAGGTAAACCAATATAACCCCCTTTAAGGAGTATCCATAACTATATTAACATCAGCAATACAAAGCAAACATCAATCACAAAATATGAGATGCACTCAGCATCCCATGGGGTGTTCCATGGAGCCGCTCCCCTTCGAGGCCCTGGGATGGAAACACGCCTCCCCCACAATGGAGGAGGGTGGAGGCTGCAGACCCTCCCCTCCCAAGGCCGCCTCCCCTGTGCGACCTGCTTCCCCAACAACTCCCGCTTCCACTCTGAAGCAGATAAGGCTCGTCCCCCAGTGGCCAGTCCTGCAAGGGC